AAAGATGACAACACTGTCACGAGAGCTCGAGAGAGCACTGACGCTACTTTGCTATACGTTGATAACCCCGATGAGGAAACTACGAGCGATTGTCTAGAACAGAATTCTGATGAACATTTAAAAGAATTGGAGGATAGAGTTAAGGATTTAGAAAACCGATTGACAAATACAAGAGATGTTCAACAAGACACATTCATGCAAGTACCTCTTTTGAACATTTCTTCTCCTACACAAAGATCAATCGATGAACTCCAAGAAAAGCTTGATATTCTACAGAGGGAATTAGTTGGTAAATCCGAAACTATTGAAAGTCTACAAGTCGAACGAGATATCGTAATATCCCTTAAAGAGCAGCTTGAAAATCTTAAAGGTGAGATAAGAAGCAAGCATGAGCTAATTGAATCCATGAAAAAAGACCTTACAAGTAATTTCATGTTGGAACAAAAATTAAGGCAAAAAGAGGCGCAAACTTTAAGTTTGAAAACAAACCTCTTGCAAGTCCAAAATCAGGAACAATCTTTACAAGACGAAATAATGGAACTTAGATCGCGCCTTGCAAACATCGAAAATGGTGATGATGTAAATAAATCTCTTCAATCAGAATTAGTTAGTTTACGGAAAGAACTCAAAAATTCTCGTGAACGAGAAACCATTGCCACTGAAAGGCTTCGAGTATTAAAAGCAAGGTTGGAAAACGATTCCGAAGAGTCCCTATTGCAAGAACAATTAAATTATTTACAAAACGTCGAAATTATGCAGAAAAACAGGATCATTGCTTTGGAAGACCGAATTTCTAAAAAAGGAGTTCAAGTCGACGAATATTTAGTTCAACTGAAGACCGATTTAACTATTACCAAAGAGTCCAAGTCATCTCATATAAAAACGATTGAAGTGTTAGAGACAAAATTGAAGAACGTTGAAAATAAATCTGAATTACACGTTTTTGAGCGACAAATTCAAGAATTGAAATTAAATGAATCCAACCAACTTCAGAAAATTCATTCTCTCGAAAGTAAATTAAATGATCAAACTTCTAGCGATTTGAAGCAAATAAAACAATTGCTAGAAGAAATTAGAAATATCCTTGAACGAGAGCGAAAACAAGAACGTGAATTTGCCACAATCACTAATTCTTTAAAAGAATTTGAGGAGGACACGAGGATCAATTCTATGAGGGATGAGATTAACGAATTAATGGATTCAAAATCTGTTCTATATAATAAAGTTCAAGAGTTACAAACTAAACTTGCCATCTCAGAAGAACAACTTTTGAATTTTAGAAGTCTACAAGAAGAAATTGCTTATCTAAAGAATTTAGATAACGAACTAAAGAACACAATTCAAGAATTATATTTCCGATTCAATCAAATACGAGACTCCAAAGACTCGGCTGTCAAAGAATTAATGACCTTAACAGAAAGTTTCAATCTACAAAAGGAAATCGTGAAATTCCTTGAATCCGAGATGAAGACCTTGAAAGAGGAACTGATATCTACTCAAAAGAACCATATAACTTCAACGTATGAACTCGAAAAGGTATCCAGTTTACTAGATACAACCCAAAAACAATATGAGAATGAGAAGAAACGAGCAAAGGTTCTAGAAGTCGAGGTTGAAACTTTCAAACTCGTAGGAGATTCTGGCGATAAGAACATAAACTCTTTACGAGAAGCTTTAACAAATACAAAGCTTGAATTGGTCGCTAAAAATGATTTGCTGACTGAACTTGAATCTCAAATGATGGCCATTGAGAAGGAGAGGGATCAACATATCAAACTTTCAAGCGAATTTACCGCATCTCTTGATGAGAGCGAATCACAACATAGGGAAAGCAAAAGCGTACTCAAATCTAGAAGAAAAATTTTAGAGGGAGAACTTGCCTCGGCTCAAGAATTGTCAAAATTAAGCGGAGAAATCATTGCAAGTCTTGAAGAAAAGCTTTTCGATGTGCAAACCCAACTTGAAAACGCAACGAATTCTGATGAAGAACAATCAAAGATCATTAAAGAAATCGAATCAAAATTAGGTGAAGCAAATGAAGTCATGACACAAAATGAGGATAAGTTGACAAAGCAAAACTTCCAAATTAGTGAATTAGAAACTGTGATCCAAAAAACTTATCTTGAATTGCAAACAGCCAAAGCATCTGAAATTGAGGTAAAGAAAAATGTAGAGGAATTAGAGTCAAAACTTGCAGAAGTCACTTTCAAATTGCAAAATAATAACTCGGCAGCTGAGATGGAATCCGTTAAAGAAACCACAGAAAAACAATTGATTCGTATCAGAGAACTTGAAGAATTATTGCGAGTACAGCAGAAACAATCAACGACCGAGAATAATATCGTCGATCTAACGGCAGAATTAGAAAAAGCTAGAGCAGATGAATCCGCAAGAATTGAATTTGTTAAAGAATTAGAAACCAAATTGGTAGAGAAGAATAATGATATAAATGAATTACAACAAGTTATAGAATTTTCTAACATAGAACTTACAAAGCTTCAGGACTCGGAGACAAAATTAGAAAACAAATTACAAGATCTCGAAAATCAGCGTATAGAGATTTCCAAACTTGATGAGACAAATAAAGCTGCTAAAATCGAAGATTTAACAAATAAACTTCATCTTGCTAAAAGTCAAATCAAAGAACATTTAGAAGTCATTGCCGAACTTGAATCAAAATATAAACAACTTGATTCCGAAAAACTAGAACACATCAAGCAAAATACAGACCTTTCAGAACAAGTAGCGGAACTTAAAATGAGTATGGAAACAATATCAAATGAATTCAAGGAAGCGGTTAGCAAATACGAGAATGTAGAAGGAATATCGAAGCAGCAACAAAAATGCATTTTAGATTTAGAAACTGCAATCAATGAAGCCAAGAAAATTCACACTATCAGAGAATTTGAAAACAACGGAGCTGAACTTTCGATTTCAAATGACAACTTGCTCGTTAAAATTGTTGAATTGGAAGCTCGTGTTACAGTATTAACCAATCAAAACAAGAGCTTGCAAGATGAATTATCGAAATGTGATGCTGATTCATTAAGGGAAATGAAGATCAAGATCAAAGAATTACAAGGCGTTAAAGATGAATTAGAAAATATAAATGAGACCTTCCTTGAAGAATGTAGTAAACTTGAAGAGAAAGTACAATCTCTAAGTAAACAGTTATGGATACTCGGAAATGATGGAAATGCAATGGCACAAGAGGTTGCCGATCTTAATGACCAGATAATGAGTCGTGAAAAAGAAATATCGATTTTGAAACGAAAAACTACAGGTTATAAAGAATTAGAATCAGAAATTTCACGACTGTTGAAAGAAAATGGACATTTGAAAGAAGAAATTAAAGATCTTTCTGCAAAGGCAGCCAAAGAAATTAATACTTCCTTAGTACGTACTTTGTTAGAAGAATCTAACAATGTCTCTAAATCCGATAAGGAAGAAGTTTCGAAACTATTGCAGCATGAAAATACGATTGCTCAACAAAATAATCTTATCAAAGGTCTTCAGAAAAATATTTCAGAACTTGAACAACTACTTGATGAATCTTGTAGAAGTGCTGGAAAAGATAATAATGCAAGCAAACAAATTTCGGATAATCTTTCAAAATCATCACCAGGTCCACCACCAAAACGTCCACCTCCACCTCCCCCGGTCGGTCCATTACCACTACCAATGCCAAATGCATCAACTTCACGACCGACGACACCTATTCGTAGACCTTCAATGCCAGGTTTTCGTATACCATTTCCTCCACGACCAGAATCCGCAGAAAGTTCATCACAAGTTGCGGAACTCTTGGCAGAAATACAAAAATTAACCAAGAATATGGCGAAGTCGGAAAGTGAAAACTCAAAGAATCAACAACTTGTCGAAACACTTGAATTGACTCTTAATGAAAGCGAAACATCTCTACAAATGACTAAAGAAGAATTGAATTCTGTATTAAGTCAAAAGCAGGATTTACTTAGATATATTAGTGATTTGCAATCTTCGTTAGATGAAGTAGAGGCTACAAAATCTGAAGTTGAAACTCAAAAAATAAGCATAGAAAAAGCTTTGAATGAAGAAAGAAAGGCTAAAGAACTTTCTGAAAGGGCGAGAATTGCTCTTGAAAATCGCGTCGAACAACTTATAGCCAAGAAAAATAAATTTATGTGTTTTTAAATATATAAGAATCTTTTTTAATTATAACTTTATTCAAAATTATTAATTTTATTTATAATTATTTTTTTATATTAATATTTCCAATGTAAATTTTCTTTCAATAATTATACATTTACTAAATAATAAACAAATTTAACAAGATTTACAATTCATTTAAATAAGTAATCCTATTAATAACTTGATTATAGAATTAAGGAATACAATTTTTGATAAAGCGAATATTGAAATTTTTTCTTTGTGGAAGTTGACACTAACGTTTTTATTATTTATAACTATAGGATAATATCAAAGGAATTTCACGAGGAAAAAGAAGTTCAAAATGCAGTCTCTGTAATAATCAGAATCTTTATCGTATATATTTATGGGGGGTAATAAATAATGTCGATCATAAGGCTACAAGAAACATTGGAGGCACAGTAAAATTATAACGCACATTTTTTTTTATTAAAAATTTATAAAATATTATAATATATAAAAATTCAATGTTTTAAACTATAATAAATACTTTAAAATTGAGTGGTTAGCGAGGAGCATCATTAAGTTTATCAGATTTAATTTAAATGAAAATTCAAGTATTTATTGTTTACCGATTTTCATAGTAAAAATGGACTCGTACTAGTAAGGTTAGGTTGATGATCGACATGTATTGCACAGTGAGTATCCGGTGACTCTATTGTTTTAAACTTGTTTCCAACTTAAAATTTTTTTTTTTTCTTTTTTATAAAAATTTATCAATTATTTCCAACTTGAAATTTTTTTTTTTTCTTTTTTTTTATAAAAATTTACCAATTAATCGACATAAATTTTTTTTTTTTTTAATAATAAGAATGTATTTATTTAATCGACGTCGAAAGACAGAACCTAAATTCATTCACGTCTTAAGAGCATGTATAATGATATTACTATTAGCTTTCCTTTTAGCATACATCATTTTTTTGATTAACGAAGTGATTCATAGTGCCCCTGCTGTACAGATTTCAGTAGAAGAGCTTGATGAAATGCCATTTCCTGGTATGCATATATGAAAAAATGATTGATATCGTATATCCTTATTTAATAATATTATTTCAGATATGGGATTTCACGGCCAAACTCCATTCGATGTAGATTGTCGATTTCAAAATGGTAAGCATGAAATTTTTTTTTTTTTTAGAGAAATAAAAATAAATTTTAACGTGACCTTATATAGGATTCGATGAAATATATAGCTGTAACGATACTTTGTCACAAACACATATATTAGAGCAAGGTTATTTTGGATTTTCTTTAAATAAGAATAATTTAAAATATACAAAGAATACAGTAAAAGGTGACCAAATTTTAAGAATAACATTATTTTCTAATACACCTAATGATTTGATATCATTTTACCTTGTTGATTCCGGTAAATTAATAAAAGATGTTTTTCTCTTTAAACTTTGATGGCAAAATGTATTAAGAATAAAATTATGTATTGCATACATAGAAAATGATCCTTTAAAATCTCCGGATAATAAAGTTTACACGAATACTTTTCAATTTCTTGATTTCATGAAAGAATTATTCGCAAACAATATGTATCGTATTGCCAATAATCAGGTAATTGTCTTTTAATTTTTTTTTTTTTTTTTTTTAAAAAAAAAGCCTACAGTTACCTTATTATTGTTGTATTATAGCTTTCATTTATAGGATTGACGAGGAATCAAAAAAAAACAATTGATCCTGAATTAAGTGGTATCCTTGGATTCAATCCATCTTATAATACCACACATCGTATTATATCCAAACTTCGTAAGTAAAATAAAATCATTCCGCTTATTCTTATTATATACAATATTAAAATTAATCATACATAACAGAGAGCACACCTCTTCCTACTGAACCAAGTACTGGATATTACAGTGAAATTGAATTAACCGTAACAAGTTACCGTATGCAAGTGGAGACAGAACAAAGGTATGTCATGAAAACTGATATTCACACAAAAGAAATAAATACATTTATTTACATCTCTGCTCCAACACTTTAGAACACAAACTGTAAGTTTTCTTGATTACTTATTATTAATTAATGAACAAAATTTTAAAACTATAGCTTAAAATCTAATCAGCTCGTATTCCACTTTAATAATAAAAAGTTACTCAGTGTGTTTGGTCTTATGGGTGGTGCTTGGGGTTTGGCATCGGCATTGTATGCGGCTTTATTTGGTAATTGTATTTTTTTTTTTTAAAAAAAAAAAGTGGTTCAGATTTTTATATCTTATTATTTCTTTACTTTGCAATAGGCGTTGATTCGATTCATCCTTGGGGTTTTATACAGTCTTGTTATTGTGGATATGGTCATAGAATACATAATAAATTTAAAAAAACAATGCCAGTACTTCCATTAATCAATCCTTCTTCCTTAATGACGGAGTTAAATTCTTCTTCTCCAAACGTTAAAGAATTACATGATCGCTTAATTTCTCTTGAAATTTTTTTAAAGGAATATGTTGTAGATGTAAAATATTTAGAAAAATCAGAGCAAATGGATCAAAATAAATGAGTGATGACAAATAATCGTCACTTATTCGTAAGAAATATGTATCATAATGAATTTATTATTATTATTTTTGGTTAATTACATTAAATAAAAAAAAAAGTGATGTATAATGTACCTCAAACAAGAACATAGTAAATGATTGCAAGGACTAATTATTTCATTAATGTTAAGTTTGCTACCGGTTTCATGATTTGCTATTTTCAATTCCATTACAAAATGTATTCTTTAAAATAAGAGATAAGTTACGTAAGTTAGTTCATCGTACAAGTAAAACAAAAATCTAACGCTTGCATACATTAAATATCATCAAACAATAACTCGAACGAGTATATTCCACAAAGCAATAGTTTATTTCTCATTTCCTTTTTTTTTTTTAGATATATAGATTTTCCAGATATTTTCCGAGAGAATCTATTAAGCATCGGAATTGTCCGTGTGTACTTATTATTACATTTTACAATTTTTAAAGGTCTGATCACAATTCATTATTTTCTTGCATTAAAAATAACCTGGTGTATCCTGATTTATAGAGTATTATTATTATTACTTTGTTTTAAATGATTTAATTAAGAAAATTTATACCCATGCAAATTTTTTTTTTTTTTTTGAAGATTATCTTCTCTCATCTAATGATTATAACGCTAAGAAAGTTTTAATCTTTAATTCGATAAAAAATCGATCGTTGGAATTACGTAATACATGGTGATGTTGTGACTGAAATTGATTTTCGTCTGAAGTTGGAATTCAAACGATCTTCCGGTGTCTGAAATTGAGATTCCAAGTTCAGTTAATTGTAGGATATAATGATAACGTCGAAACCTTTAAAGCCCACTAAGAATTAGATCAACTTTGTGTATTATCAAATAAACGGAGGTATGAGAAAGAAAAAAATTTTTGTCATTGAACAATCAAATATCAAACCACAAGTTTTTAAAATTATAGGTATGTTAACTAGATTAGGTTGGTGTGCGGCGACTTTGTCGCCGCTAGTTATGGTTATTATACTGCTTTAGTTGTAATATATCCTTTATTATTACACGGTCCATTAGGATTGTGCAGAATTTAATGTACTGATATTTTTCATTATATTAATATTGGTACACGCACTAATCCTAATAGACAGTATAATAATATTGTTATTGAACGGGACTATATCGGTCTTCGACCGATATTTTAACGCCCCGTTCAATAACATACAATTAAGTTATCGCCGTGACGAGCCGAAGGGTCCATCCGAAATTCCGCGCCCGCATTCGTCCGAAAGAGCGGAATCGGCCCTAACTTATAAAATCGAAAAGAATATTACAGTTGTTTTCATATTTTTCGGGACAAAACAAATTTTGAACCCGACACCCGTCCGATAAGCGGTATCGGATCACGTGATTATAACATTTTGTTTACAGATTGTAATACTTGCTATTAGGACAATAGTGTCCGGTATTTGTTTATCGGTTATAGTTTATTTAGTTTGTTTATTTTTAGTACAAAATCCAGAAACAAGTGATAATGTAAGTTATTTTTATTAATTATCAGTATTTAATTACACTTGTTACTGTAATTTAATGTCAACTAAATTTTTTATTTAAAAAATAAATTAATAATATAATAGATTGTAAGTTATTTTTATTGATTATCAGTATTTAATTACATTTGTTACTATAATTTAAAGTCAACTAAATTTTTTATAATAATTTAGCATGGTAGTTATTTTTATTGATTATCAGTATTTAATTATACTTGTTACTGTAATTTAAAGTTAACTAAATTTTTTATTTAAAAAAATAAATTAATAGTATAATAGATAGTAAGTTATTTTTATTGATTATCATTATTTAATTACACTTGTTACTATAATTTAAAGTCAACTAAATTTTTTATAATAATTTAGAATGTAAGTTATTTTTATTGATTATCAATATTTAATTACACTTGTTACTGTAATTTAAAGTCAACTAAATTTTTTATTTAAAAAAATAAATTTTATTAGTTGGTAAGTTATTTTTAATTTTTATTAATATATAATTTAAGCATAATTAAATTATAATATAAAATATTATTATTATATATTTAATAATTTATCTATTAAGTAAGTATAATGTTTTATATTTTAAAATAATAATTAAATAATAATTATAAAATTATTATTAGAAAAAAATGATTTACTTAAATTATAATAAAATAATATTAGATATAAATAGTGTAAAAAATGTTATTCTAATTTATTTTAGCAAAGTTTTTATAATTGAATTAGTAAAATAAATTTATTTCAAAAAATTCAAATATATACTTAAAGGCAATAGACTAGTAAAAATAAATTTATTGATGAATTTATTCAAAATACTCAAATAAATGCTTAAAATAAAAGGCAATTATTAGAATAGATTTCTTATGATAAATTTAAAAATATTGAGTATTTTGATAAAGGAGGATTTAGCATTATATATAAAGCAACTTAGACAGGTGGATTTATTGATCTTATGAATTTAAAGAGAAAAAATGGATTAGAAATAGTAATATTAATATAATTCTTAAAAGTTTTAATAAATCATTAAATTTAAATAAATTTTTAAATGAAGTATAAATTAATAATTATATTTAATTTTAAATAATAAGAATTTAAATTAATTTATTTTTATTTTAGTGGAAACATTACTGTAAATGTTATAGTCAATTAGAAACATATTCAAATGAAAACTTATTTAATTATATAGATTTACTCAAAATTTAAATACTTTAGATTATATGGTAGTAATGAAATATGCAAAAAAAAATAATTTGAAAAAAAATTTATCAAATATAGTTAAAGATAAATGGATTATTAAATTATTACAATTAAATAATATTATTAATAGATTTGAGAAAATACATCAAAAAATCTTATTCATTGTGATTTTCATCATAGTAATATTTTATCTATTAGTGATTTAAGATTATGTAAATCTGTAAATTATTTTCAAACATCTAAAAAAATGAAATTTATGATATTTTACCATTTGTAATTTCTAAGATTTTAAGAGAATAAAATTATACTAAAGCTAGTAATACATATAGTTGTTCTATAATTATGTGGGAATTAATATTAGAAGTTCTTCCATTTAATAATAAAACTTATAATTTTCAATTTAGTTTAAATATTTGTAAAGGTAAATGTCCTAAAATCATTAATAATGCTCCTAAATGCTATATAAATTTAATGGAAAAATGTTGGGATATAAATCTATTAAAAAGACCAACTGTAAATAATTTTAAATATAAAGATAAAACAATTATTTTAAATATAATATAATTTTTTTAATATGAATTTAAATAAAAATGAATATTTTAAATATAATATAATTTTTTTAATATGAATTTAAATAAAAATGAATATTTTAAATATAATATAAAAATAAAATAAATTTTTAAGTATTGTATAGAAATAAATAAATTCTTGCTTTAAAATAAGTATATTTATCTAATGCTAATTATATTTTTTTTATTTTGAAAAAAAATTTAATAAAAGTAATATAAAATAAAATATTTATTTATTAAATAAATAATAATATTTTTGTAATAAGTAAGATATATCCTAATATTGCTAATATGCTAATAATTCATTTATTTTTTTTAACTAATTTATTCTAAAAAATCTTTATAAAAATTAATAAAAATATTTTTTATTTAAATAAATAAATTAAAATTTACTTATTGTATTTAATTTTTTTTTAAAAAAATATATTATTAAAAAAATTTAATCAAGAATATATTTATAAACAAAAAAAAAAATTTTATGTATATATATCATTTATTTATATAAATAGATGAATAAATAAAGTAATTTAACTTTATAATTAGCAGAAACTGATAGACTAAATAACTGATAGATTAAACAAATCTGTTAAAACTAATAAAACTGTCAATTATAATATAGTTAATATTATTATTATTTCTAATATTTTTATTCTTATTATTATTTATTTTATATTTATTATTTTAGTATATCTATTAGTATTATTATTATTATCAATAGTATTATAATTATAACTATTATCATTGATCTTTTTTAATTGTAATTTTTTATAAATAAATATGAAAATATCTTGAAAAAGGATATATTTTAACATTATATTTAATATATATTTAATAATAAAAATAAACAACAATAATATTTTGCAAATATAAAACTTATAATTTTATTCTTATTAACAAAAATAAACTTTCTAACTAATTTTGTGTCAAGTTGATTAAATTTAAGTCATAGCTATTGTTTTTCTGATTTTAAATTATAATGATAGAAAGAGTAACATTAACAATATCAATAAAATTTATAAATATAAAAAATATAACTTCGTTCTTGTTAATCAAATGAATTTATCAATTAATATTATGTTAAATTGATTAGATTAAAGTTATAACTATTGCCTTTCTAATTTTTAATCATAATTAACTTATTTGCAGATAGAGTAATATTAATAATATTATATCAAATCTGCAAATCTTATATTAATAAAAAAATATTGTAAACTATTATTTTTTAAAAAATATATTTTATAAAAATACTATAATAATCTAAATTTATTTTTATTAATTTTATTATTTTATATATACTAGAATATTCTGCATTTTATATTTATATTTAATTAGTAGATATAGTTAATTGAAAATCAGAAGTAAATGAATTTTTAAAATATTATAAAAAATGTTTCTTATTGTTGTTATTTTTTTTTTAATAAATCAAATTCTAAAAATATTAATTCTATTAAATTTTCTTCTAATTATTTCTATTAATATAAAAAAATAAAAGATTATTTTTAAATATTTAACTAAAATCATATTTATTTATATTTATCTTTAAACTGTAAATTAATTTACAAAATTTTAAAATATTATTTGAATTATTATTATAAAGAAATAATAATAATATTGATATGTATTTTTTATAAGCATGATCCATTTTATATAATGACTATGTAAATTTTATAAAATGATTTTTTATTAAATAATTTAATTAAATAAATAATAAA